ATGATTATATTTGATGTTGACACGTGCCCTGTGATTCTATATATTGTATGCATGAATTGTTTATGGATCAATATGCTTATGATATGATATGATATGTATATGTTATTGTGAATGTTTGATTAATCCACCACACCCAAATGGTGGTGAGAGTTCTCTTATTTATAATCATTTACAGAATACAGAAATAAGGTAAATTACAAATAATAAGGAAATAGCGATAAAAGGAAAGAATAATAAATGAATACAATATATTTGCATTTAGTAAAATGGCAAATATGGTAACCCGTAATGTAAAGCAAATATCTAGATATTTGCCTTATAATGAATGGTCAACTATCTTTAACACCCCCTCGCAAGCTGAGCGTCGGATTTGAACGAACATGAAGCTTGGATCTGAAAAATTCAAAGAGAGGTCGAGAAATACTCTTTGTGAAGATGTCAGCAACTTGGAGATGAGAGGGTACATATTGTGTACGAAGTTTGCCAGCGATAACAAGTTCTCGAAGGAAATGATAATCTAGTTCAACATGCTTGGCCCGCTTGTGAGAAACAGGATTAGAGCTCAAAAAAATAGCACTTTTGTTGTCACATAAGAGTAAGGGCTGCTGTGAAATAGAGACCTTGAGGTCATGCAAAAGATGCGTAACCCAAAGAAGTTAAGCAGCAGTTGTGGCAAGAGCACGATACTCAGATTCACAGCTGGAGCGTGATACAGTAGGTTGCTTTTTGGCACTCCAAGAAATGAGATTGTTACCAAGATAAATAGAATAGCCGGATGTAGAACGACGAGTATCGGGACAACCAGCCCAGTCAGCATCCGAATAAGCGACTAGCGTACTAGGAACAGTGGATGGACGAAAGATAAGACCAAAGTGGAGTGTTCCTTTGACATAGCGAAGAATACGTTTGACAGATCCATCGGGCAAATATTTAATACGAAACACCCATTTAGAGCCCACGATGTTGGTGTTGGCAGGGCGAGGAACCAAAGTCCAAGTATCATTTTGTTGTAACGCTCGAATTTCTTCATCCATGGCAGCCACCCAAGCAGGATTCTTAGCCGCAGATTTGAATTCTTTTGGCTCAGTGGATGCAAGAAGAGCAGAGAGAAGTCCAGATGAGCCCAACATACCAAGATTTGCTGGATGACGAGTCTTGAATATACNAGCTTTGGCGCGTGTGATCATAGGATGAGTGCCCAAAGAAGAGAAATCAACAGGAGGTTCAAAAGAGGTTGAATTAGAAGTCGAGGGTGGCAAAGTGGAACCTGCAAGAGAAGTATCAACCTGCACAGACTCATCTACAAGGTCAGAACAAATATCACACGGGGATAAACTGGATTGAGGAACGTGCGGTGATGAAGTGGTAGGGGGGGATGAATCAATATGATGAAGATGTGGTTCCAAGAAATTTGAAATAGGAATAGTGGAAAGAGGTTGGGCTTGGGAGCTAGGGATAGCAGGAAAGTGAGTTTCATCAAATTGAGCATGACAGGTGATATATAGCTTAGTGGTGGCGGGATCAAGACAGCGGAACCCTTTATGAATGGGACTATAACCCAAAAAAATACAAGGAATGCTGCGGGGAGAAAGCTTGTTAGGCATATAATCACGCAAATAAGGATAAACACGACAACCAAAGGAATGAAAATTGTCATAATGTGGAGTGTAGCCATAAAGAAGTTCAAAGGGTGACTTACCTCCAAGAAGTGGAGTAGGCAACCGGTTGATAATATAAGCTGCAGTGCTGAAGGCGTCAACCCAAAAACGAGGAGAAAGATGAGAGTGAACGAGAAGGGCCAAGCCGTTTCCTACAATCACAGAGTCCTTACCCGTGTAATTTTTAGACTGATCCAGAATTGATGGGTCGGCAGTCATATGGGCCGAAGCTCCAGTGTCCAAAAACCAATCAGCAGCATCGGGTCCAGCAATAGAACATGACGTGTTAAAGGCTTCAGCAAGGTGAGCATGAGAAGAATCAGGTCGAACATACCGTTGGTTGCAGCGGTCAGCATAATGGCCCTCTTTGCGGCATATTTGGCAATGAGGTGGTCGACGACCCTGGCTTGAGTGGGTTCGTCCTCGATTAGAAGAGTTGTTTTTGTGAGAATAAGAACGACCTCGCTGGTTGGTAAAGGAAGCAGGGTGACTTTCATGGGTGCGACCACGGTTAGTGGCTATGAATGCTGTAGGAGTGGAGTCAGAGAACTCAAGGGAGCGCTGGAACAACTCAAAACTTTCAGTTTTAGAGACTAGATCTGCAAAACAGGGGATAGGGGTGAGAGCCATCTGAGCAGTAGAAAAAGCTGAAAATTCGGTGCCGAGTCCACGAAGAAACCAATGCACTTTATCAATGTCCTCGACGGGTCTGCCAATGGCATGAAGTTGGTCACAAATTTTTTGAAGGCACGGGCATACTCAGCAACAGGTTTTGTGCCACGTTTCATCAACTGCAAGTCATCCTTGAGTCTCAGTTCACGAGCTTTTGACTGATGGCTGAACGTAGTTTCCAACGCAAGCCAAACATCATGTGCAGTAGAGAGACCAACGACAACAGCCATGGCTTCCTCAGTGAGAGAGGAGAGTAGGAGACAGAGAAGTCGTTGATCGGCTGCTCTCCATGTCAAATATTTGGGGTTGAATGTTGAGAAGGTTTCTGGTTCAAAGCGAGGTGGTGGAACCATAGTTCCATCGACATAGCCCAACATGTCTTGACTTTCAAGGAGAGGAAGAAGTTGGCTTTTCCAAAGAAGATAATTGGAGGAAGAAAGTTTGATGGTGATCATATGGATTAGAGTATTGAAAGGAAGAAGATGATAACAAGATTCGGAAGCCATAGAGAAGAAAGGATCAGGGTTGTTAAACCAAAAGGGCTCTGATACCATGTGAATGTTTGATTAATCCATCACACCCAAATGGTGGTGAGAGTTCTCTTATTTATAATCATTTACAGAATACAGAAATAAGGTAAATTACAAATAATAAGGAAATAGCGATAAAAGGAAAGAATAATAAATGAATACAATATATTTGCATTTAGTAAAATGGCAAATATGGTAACCCGTAATGTAAGGCAAATATCTAGATATTTGCCTTATAATGAATGGTCAACTATCCTTAACAGTTATAATATGTGAATTGTATGATAACACTTACAATACGATGTGTTTATTGATATGTTTGAGATAGGATACGAGAAGGATGCACTAAACGTAATGTAATGATAGAAGTAAGATATGTTTATGAAACGTTAAGGTTAGGTTACGTATCAAAGTGCTTTGGATATGAGAGATTGATACAAATGATATGGTCACAATCGATTTAATAAAAGAATATTGTTAGGTTATGAGTAGAAAGAGATAAGATTATGATAGATTGATAGAACGATAACGTTAATATACGTTCTTGTAACAATATGACTAAAGTACGTTCATGTAATGATAGACTGTGATAGATATAAGAATGTTAAGGCTATGATAAGTCAGGGAACGATATGACCTCGAAATGTTTACAATATGATATGATTATAATACGACATATGAATGGCGTGTATATATGTATGTGTGTGTTTGTGTTGTGGTATGATATGAAACAGGCTATGGTATGAGATATGTGATAAATTGACATGTTCATGATATGATATATTATGATGTCATATGTCATGGTATGATATGTATATGATGAAAATTGTCATGTCTTGAAGCATGAAATGTTATTGATATGATATATTTATGTAATTTGAATGATATGATATGATTGACATGCAAAACGACGAACTAGCATGAAGTACAACCCCGACATATGCATGAAAGATATGATAAACGATATGTGAAATAATATAAAAAACGATATGATATGTACTAAGAATGTTTGATTAATTCACCACACCTAAATGGTAAGAAAGTTATGTTATTTATAATCAAATAAATTACATGGATATGAAAATAGTAATAAATAGAAATAACAATAAATTGAAAGATACTTATGGTATACTAGATATTTGCCTTATAATAAAATACCAAATATGATATATACTGTAGACTATAATTTATTACTAAATATCCTTAACATGTACAGAACGCTAGTGGGTTGTATTAAATGATAATGAAAATGAAAAAAATGTTGGGACCTCATGCCTTATTGTGTTCTCATGCATTGGGAGATACCCCTTACCCTTTACGATAATACAAACGCGTACATTACGAGGCAGGAAAACGATCATTATGGTTATCATAATGCTACGATGTCTAAGAAGGAGAGTGATAATTATGTTTATCATAATGCTGCAATGGTCAGATAGAAGAACAATCATTATGTTTACCTAATATTGTCGTGACGGTTACTAGTTCTAACGGGTGTCCCACCTAAGAAGGAGCTTCCGGAGTATGCTCGCCCAACAAGGAAAGTGGCCTGGCGGTGTGCAAACTGACTGGTGAGTTCATACTCACATGTATGAGCTATGTGTAGAGTATATACACATCCAAGTTACCTGTTACGATAACACGTAGCAAAATAGATTGAAAGGATAGGTCCTGTCATTGCATTTAACCACAATAGTGGGCTACAAATACTCAAGCTATGTGCATGTTAGGTTAAGACAAGACAGTTCTATACGGCTGACGACAACATCTCGACCATTGTACATGTATAGGATAATTGTATTTATTTTCTTAGATTTAAGCTAGGATATGATGTTTTTAATTTAAACGTTTGGTACTTTTTGTAAACTTTTTGGTAATTTAACAACAAATAATTTTGAGATTGTTTTAGTCGAAAAGTTGAGGCGACGTTGAATTGAATGAATATCCAAAATTTAATCCGAACTCCACAACACAACCGCCTTATCCAAAATGATTGTTTTCTTTTTCTGGGGTCCATGACAGAAATTTCTAAAAATAACGAGGCGATAAAGCAATTATATAAATCCCAAGGGACTTTTTTGAAAATCTGGCTCTTTAAATACTCGAGGAAGGGGGCTGAAAGAGAGAAGAAAAGCGAAAACTGAATGTTTTTGTTGATCCAAAGTCACGACGGGGTCGTTTTGATCTGTTGAAGCCCACTCTCATCTCGCCACTACCACAGACGTCTCTCTCTCTCTCTCTCTACACCACTTTGATTCTGTAAACTCCATTTCTCTCTCTTCTGCTACCATGGTGGAACCGGTGGAGCTACCGAGTCGACTCGGAATTCTTCCGTTCAGGAATAAGGTTCTTTTGCCCGGCGCCATCATTCGGATTCGATGCACTTCGTCCAGCAGGTACACCTCAAGAATGCTACTGATTACAGCTCTGTTTTCTTTCTCTGTCTTTTCCATGGATAATTTTACTTTAATGCAAAATCATGATGTGTTTTCCCGACCTTCAAATAAATTCTGATTCACTTCATTTTGGTCTCTGCGATTTTGACCTTTTCTTTTATTCGGTAATTTGGTGGCTCGCTCTTTGGATCATCACTTTCTCGCCGTATCGTGATGTTCGCATTTTTTTTTTATGTGAAATACCGTAATTTGATTTTTTGGTTGTTTTTTTGGGCGATTGAGGAAGGTCATTTTTTCTAAAAAGTTTCGATGATCACTTTTCAGTTCAACTTGTATGGAACTGAGTTATAACTTCTTGGATTCCTGAATTAATCTCTTTATTGGGAAAATCTGATATTCGATACTACTTGCTTGGTAAATTTGTTTTTGCTTTATGAGATTGTGCACAGTTTATGGACGTTGACGAAAGGTTGACGAGAAAAGTGTTTTACTATGAACGCAGTGTTAAACTGGTGGAGCAAGAGTTGTGGCAGCGAGAAGAGAAGGGGTTGATTGGTATTCTTCCAGTGCGAGATGATGCAGACGCATCTGCAATAGGGCCTGCGTTATCTCAAGGTAGTTGATTTGCTGCGTTTTTCATAACCCATCAAGTGTTAAGTGGCTGCATTTTGATTAGAAATTACATTGTATTGTTCCGCGATGGATGTGTTCGTACTATTTCATCATGGAATGCCGAAGGAAAGATCATTAAACTCTTTCAAACAAACATAATGGTTAGGTGTGGGAAGCGATCCTGGAGATCGTAGCTCAAGGGCTCAATCTGGATCCTCTGACTCACAAAGAGTAGATGGGAAAAATCATCAGGAAGTAATTCAATGGCATTCAAGGTATAGTATCTATTTGTATCTAGTCATTTCATCATCTAGTTGTTACTATTTAATCAACCCCATAAGATAGCAGAAGCACCTGTAAGTTTTTCCCTTTTCTCCCCCATTGAATTCAATGTCTTTCTCCATATAGCTCAATATACAAGTTTATCAATGTTGTTTATATAATTTTACAAAATTCAAGATGCGGTAGTAGTTGAGATGCTGGTTCTCTAAAATTATTTTCATCAGGGGTGTTGCTGCTCGTGCCTTGCAGCTGTCTAGAGGAGTAGAGAAACCAAGTGGAAAAGTGACATATACGGTTGTGCTAGAAGGTTTATGTAGATTTTCTGTCCAGGAACTTAGCACCAGAGGAACATATTATACTGCAAAAATATCACCCTCAGAAATGACAAAGGCAGGTTGGTGGTCAAATGCATTTTTGTATTCTGTTAGTGGGTTTGATTATGATTTTTTGGACCATTTTCATTGGTATGGAAATTTTGTAATTTTTCCCTCCATTCAGTTTCTGCAACAATTTATTCGTATTGGAAGTTAAAAGCACTCCGGGCTGACGCTAAGTTCTCCATGAAGGAACTGACTAAACAAGGAAGAAGCCTAGATAAAATTACATTCTAACTAGGATAGTTTGTTTAAACACAAAGAACAGTGTTGTGGATCTTTCTTGCGTTGAAAAGGGCTCTTCATTAGAAGCAACCTTGAACACGTCATTCTGGAAGTGATAAACAAGGAACAACAATAATTTACTGTACACATGCACCTATATTCTAACTGACAAACAAGGAAAGTTATTCATTAGCTGGTAAATGAACTACATTAACACTGCAGATATTTAATAGGACTTGTCTTTAATCACCGAAGTGCTTCCCTATTAGATAACCCGTTTTTTACCAGATAGAAGTTGAGAGGCTACATAAGTTTCATTTAATGTAACTTGCTATAAAAAAGTTTATGGTTGATGTCATGATGAATTTAAAAGTTCTAGTATTTAAATTTGGAACTAAGAACTTGGGGTTTGAGAGGGTCAAAATGCAATTTTACTTAGGCGTATGTGTGTGTAAAAAGTTGACTTTTAATTTATGGATTTGAAGGATTTACTGCCTTGAGAATGTAATAAGAACATGATACAGTGTCAGGAGGAGGCATGTAAAGCAAAAATACTTACCCGTTGTGTATTTTGGGTTCTAGTGAACAGTCCCGTGAAGCTTGCTTTCCTGTTTTATCGTATGCTTTTCTTTGAAAGTGGTTTTCCCTATAGATTTTTTTGAGTTTGTTGATTGAACAAATAGGCTTTTTTTTTTTTTTTTTTAACTCATCTGCTGATGTTGTTCGTTGCTTCCTTCTTTCTCATCTTAATTAGAGATGGAGCAAGTGGAGCAAGACCCAGATTTTATTTCATTATCTCGACAATTCAAAGCTACTGCAATGGAGCTTATATCTGTTCTTGAACAGGTACTCAATGGTGATATCTCTTTTGTTTTATTGCATGGTTGTTACCTTTACTTAGGGTGTCAAGAGATAGCATGTGTTTCATGAAAGCAAGATTTTTTCATTTTTTTAATAGGAAGCAATAATTTCATGAAAGCAAGATATGAAATAATTAATTTTGTGGCCTAGTCGTTTGACATGAAGCAAGATTATTGCTAAAGTTCTAGTTGAAAGAATTCAATTGGTTATTCCAAGAACTGTAATCGACAAATAATTTGCATTTGTTAGAGATGATTGAATGATTGGAAGGTGCTTTTTTCTCTAGTAGGGACAATAAAATAATATAGAAGACTGATCCAGGGGCTGTTTTCTTTTTATCTCTTTGGTGAAATGCAATTTGTATTTCCCTCAAAGTTATCAAGGTGTAGTTGTTCCGGCATTCATTGTGGTTATGCATAGAAAAAGAGGAGATTTAATCCTTCGTTGGTGATATTTCTTCTTTAGAGTGTCCTTCTTTCATCAATCTTGACCGACCTTTTTCGCCTTTCAAATTCTATGGACTTAAAAAGGATAAAACAAGCTTTGGAAGATGAAGTTGTCACCTCTAGGACCGAGAAAGAATTTTTAAGCTCACCTATGCAATAGTTGAGACTTTAGAGAATATTATTAATGTCTCAGTTGGGTCGGAAAACACAACTTATGAAGATTTAAGGAAGGCTGAAATTAATGGCCAAGAGTTGCACGTGCAGGAAGCATTCATTGATTTAGAAAATGAGAACTTAATAACTTCAGGGGATATCACATTTAATACTCGAAGTATGCTTGAGTTAGATTCATCTGTCTCTTTGTTGCTGCCCCACTAGAATTAATTCAATCAAATCCTTTCTTCTGCGTTCCAATGGTATTAAATGAGGAAGGTTTCTCATCCAAGACATGAAATGACGTGGATCTATCGTCCCAAGAAATGAAGAAGCATAACTTGAGAAATATTACTCTGCCTTCGAACATTTAGAAAATTCAAGCATCATGGAAGTAAAAGATCGTGATATGAAAACTCTAGCCACTTAGATCTAAGAACCCTCGTGGATATGCAAACCCCTAGATCACAAATGCTGAAACCTCAAAATCAAGATGATTTCATCTCAAATGGTATGGAACTCTTCTGAATTTAATCTAACAATTTTATTGAAGAATAAGACCTTTAGATCTAAGATATCAAAGAACTCCAAAACGATAAGAAATCACCTCAAGAGAAAGTAAGATCTGGATTACCTTGTTGATCAAATATCTCAAGGCAAGAAAAATTTGTCTGAGATCTGAATCACTCCACAAGAAAGATTGATCAGGTCAAGCTTGAATGATTCTAAACATGTAACTTAAACTACATAGAATTGCAAAGAAATGTAATTCTAGACTAAAAGAAAGCACAAATGCTATTTTTACTATATTTTTCAAGTCTACTTTACAAAGACAACATACGTGGCTTTACACAGCCTCAAATTAAACCGTTGATCTTCCATGATGCATTTCAAGAATTCTAACCTTCATAGCTTATGACCATAATTAGTATGTAAACGTAACCTATAAAGTAAATCAAAAGTCTTAAAACAAAAAATACACTCATAAAACACCATAAATCTAAATTTCAATTATCTATTAAGAATTTGTAACCATCTAAGAATAAATGAAGTCCTCCTAGAAGTATCTTGAATCCCTTGTTATGTAAATGAACCTTGATTCTTCTTAATGTGACATTAATCGCAACTTGAATTCGACTTTAATGAGACTTGACTTTGTTTCATGTAACTTGACTTTATCTTGTTGTAATTGGACAACTTCTTCACAACTTCTTGAAGTTCATATGTATGATTTAGATGCTGAGGATTATATTAGATCATTTTATTACAACTTATTCAAAACATTACCCAAGGAAATTCCCTCTGCCTGTATGAATTTTATTGCCTCTGCTTTATCCACTCTTAATGATGATGTAGTTGAAGAATCTTGTTCAACGTTTTGATTGCCGTAAAAAAAACAATGTAATAATCATGAATTTGAACTAAAGGAAACAAATTAGCCGAAGTATATTATAAACATGTGTTTAGCTGGTTCAACATTTTCTAAGGGCATTTCGCAATCTTCTAATGTTCATTCAATTCCCACTTCAGTTCCTTATAATGAACCAGGTAATGAATCTGAGGTTAGTTTGAGCAGAATGTAGTTGGATTCTCCCGTTAATTCTTTGGACAATAACAATGTGGAAAAGAAGTTAAGGAGCCATTTCCGAATCACATCTTAGAATCTCAAATTCCATGAATGTTTTCCTCTTTAATTGAGCTGATTTCACATCTTAGAATCTCAAATTCCTGCATGTTTTCCTCTTTACTTGATCCTAGTGGTTTACAGATGCAAGAAATTCCATTGTAAAATGCCTCAGGAAAATGCTAAGAGGACTCATAAGAAATACTTTTAATGTTTTCCTCTTATCTTATCATTTTTTTTTTTTTTTTTTTTTTTTTTTTTTTTTTTTTTTTGTATT